GAGAAGTGTAAGATTTTTTTCATAAATTTGTTGAGCTATAGCCTCATTAACAATACTAGGAGGAGTGCTTCTTTGCGCATTGTTCGCAGTTCCACCACCACCATATATGTATGTACATTCCTGATAGAAGGCTCTATGAATTTTTTTAGGACTCGGAGCGGTATCGGCGGCTGTGATGTCTTCCGCTGACTCCTCAGTGCTGTCAGCAGCCTCCATGTTTGCACACAACATCTGGAAATTGACCATCAGACCTCACGTGAGATTCTTTTCCTTCAAAATCCACCCGTTCCATTATTTTTCGAACAAGAAAAGGTATGGATAAGTGAAGTCACGTATGCATCATCGATCTTGATCCGTCTTGAATAGCTCGACAAAGCAATGCTTTCGAAAAGTTTCTGTCCTACTACTATGCTTCGATCTTTCCGCTATCCCCTGAATTTTCAGGTCTGAATAAAATTCGAACATGAAATACAGTATAGTAGATTGTGCATAATTTTACCTATGATGATACGCCTTACGGATTGATGTGCACTCCCGATCCTTGATCTCAGTAGACCACCGACTTGAGAAAAGGGGCTAACCATCTGTTCCTTGGGGAACCCCTGGACTCTACCCTTTGCTTACGACAGCTAAGTTCCAGTGGTATTAACTACTTCGACAAAACATGTCATAAGCTACTGTAATGAGCGCTCATGAAGTCAAAGGGTGGCTCAGCTCTCTCCGGTTCGCTAGCCTCGCCACTTAGACGTTTCAATTATGTATCAGTGGGTACAGTCTATCCTGCTAGTAAGAGTGTAATTGGGCGGGAGTGATATAGCGGCTGGTGGCTTTGCTTACCACCACTTTCCACGCGAGCTGCTCACGTTCCAAGCTGAATTCCTGGATTATACGCCGTCCAGACCAACCAAGCCTTCCATCCCAACAAAGACGGGTGGTTGGTGCCACACTTGTCTGTGAGGACAAAAACACTGATCTGCTGTTTTTATCGGCTGGTGCTACGTTTCAGAGCAACCATAAGTCACATTCAAGGCCCTAAGATTCTGACGATTCTGAATGGACATAGAGTACATTCGCATCTCAGAAAGACATAACCAACGCTAAATAATTTATCCTTTCGCACTAATTATAAGCAGTGAAATTCAGGCATCAGAACGCGAAGTGATTCTTGTGATGCGTTTCGCCATCATCGCAGTTGGTGTGATGGCTACCGTTATGGCGTTAACAATTCAGAGCATCTACGGACTATGGTGAGCACTATTTTATTTCCTGAGCTAACCCATATCACAAGAAGCAATAGATCGTGGTTTCTGATCAATTGGAATCCTAAATCACAAGGTTATTATTATTGTTTTATTTATTCTCTTTCAAATAGAAAGCTATCAA